GACCAGCTCCACTCTCTTCATCCGCCTGCCGCCCCTCCAGTGCGCCAATTCCCCCTCCCCCTCTCTCCCCTCCCCCCGCTCCCCCAGCTACTGGAGAGGACCAGCTCGGATCTCATCATCCACCTGCCGCCCCTCCAGTGCGCCAATTCCCCCTTCCCCCCCCCCCCCCCCCCCCACCACTTTCCACTGGGCTAATCCCCCTTTCCCCACTCCCCCCCTTCCCCCCTCACAGATACTAAAGAGGACCAGCTCCGGCCTTTTCATCCGCATCCCGCCCCTCCAGTGGGCTAATCCCCCCTTCGCCCCCCAACTTTCCACTGAGCTAATCCCCCTTTCCCCCTTGCGCCCTTCCCTTCCCCCATTCCTCCCCCCCCCAAGATACTGGAGAGGACCAGCTCGGGTCTCTTCATCCGCCTGCCGCCCCTCCAGCCAGCCAGAGCGGCGCTCGGCTTTATGGTGGGTGTGGTGCGGTGTGACCGATGGTGGTGGTAGGCCCGATGGAATTGATTGGGATGATGATGATGATGATGATGATGATGATGATGATGATGATGATGATGATGATGATGATGATGATGATGATGATGATGATGATGATGATGATGATGATGATGATGATGATGATGATGATGATGATGATGATGATGATGATGATGATGATGATGATGATGATGATGATGATGATGATGATGATGATGGGGGTGAGCTGGGTGCGATTTTTAGATGCCTTTAACAACTGCTTGCCCACCAGTTCTTTCAGAGCACAGCTCTTCTCTCTCATGCCGCTTCAACAGGTGCTGCTGCCGCTGTTTTGTTCTTGCAACAGCAGAAACATAACAAACCATTGTCTACCAATGCCTTTCTCCTCTCTCTCATCTCCCATCTCCCATCTTCCATCTCCTGTCTCTCGTCGCTGCGCAGTTTTTTGCTTTCCTAGCCCTGCTGCCACTGCTGCTGCCCCTGATGCTCGATGCTGTTGCGCCCACAGGGGAGCAGACACCCGTTCCGCCCATGGTGCATGTTGCCTCCGCTCTCTGCACACTGTGAGCTCTCAGAGGAGTTGTGAGGGGTGGTGAGAGGTTCGGGGAGATTTGAGAGGCGTCGAGGGGCGTGGGAAGATTTTTTTCACGCATGTTGCCTCTGCTCTCTGCACTCTTTGCCTTAGGAGAAGGCGGTGGTGCTTATGGCAGTGTGCAGCTTTCATGATGCACATCAATCTGGCCAACCTCCCTCTCCTCTCCTCCCCACCGTCCCCCCATCCCGTCCACGTCAGCATGGCAGTGCTGAGCGTGTGTGCAGCATTCACGGTGCGCACGATGCGAATCGACGGCTCACAGCTGCTGCACACGTGGCAGCTGTTTGATTGGATCATTGACACCGCCATCCCCACCGCATCCATCATTCGAGTGTCTCTTTGCAAAATGGTAAATGAATGTGGCAACACTGTGAGCGAGGTGAGGAGTAAGGGGTGAGGGGTGTTGTTGTTGAGGTGTGTCGAGGGGTGCGGATGGGTGTTAAGCGGTGTTTGGATGGACCATTGACGCCAACATCCGCACCACGTCCATCCAGCAAGTCTCCTCTGCGGAATGGTAAACTCCTCGCATCACCCCCTCCCTCGCATCACCTCCCCTGCGCCCATCACCTCCCCTGCGCCCATCACCTCCCCTGCGCCCCTCACCTCGCACCGCATACCCTCTTGCAGGAGAGGCGGTTCAACACGACGTATTTCTGTCGGGTCACAGCAGCAGACGCCAAGCAGCTTGACTTCAAGGCTCACCTGTCGCGAGAGGAGAGCTCACCACTAAGCATCCACCACACATCTTCCCCCCTTCCCTTCCCTCTGCCTTTCTCAGGAGAGGAGGATCAATGCCACGTATTTCTGTGGAGTAACAGCAGCAGAAGACAAGCAGCTTTACTTCGGGGGGCATTTGTCCCGCAAGGAGTGCGTGTGGCTGCAGCACGAGGTGTCCTCCTTTCCCACCTGATTGGACGGACTCACCAAGCTTCCTCCCTCAACCCTTCCATATTTCAGGAGAGGCGGTTCAACACGACATATTTCTGTCGAGTCACAGCAGCAGACGGCAAGCAGCTTGACTTCGGGGGGCATCTGTCCCGGGAGGAGAACGTGTGGCTGCAGCACGAGGTGTCCTTCTTCCCCACCTGATTGGACGGACTCACCAAGCTTCCTCCCTCAACCCTTCCATATTTCAGGAGAGGCGGTTCAACACGACATATTTCTGTCGAGTCACAGCAGCAGACGGCAAGCAGCTTGACTTCGGGGGGCATCTGTCCCGGGAGGAGAACGTGTGGCTGCAGCACGAGGTGTCCTCCTTCCCCACCTGATTGGACGGACTCACCAAGCTTCCTCCCTCAACCCTTCCATATTTCAGGAGAGGCGGTTCAACACGACATATTTCTGTCGAGTCACAGCAGCAGACGGCAAGCAGCTTGACTTCCGGGGGCATCTGTCCCGGGAGGAGAACGTGTGGCTGCAGCACGAGGTGTCCTCCTTCCCCACCTGATTGGACGGACTCACCAAGCTTCCTCCCTCAACCCTTCCATATTTCAGGAGAGGCGGTTCAACACGACATATTTCTGTCGAGTCACAGCAGCAGACGGCAAGCAGCTTGACTTCGGGGGGCATCTGTCCCGGGAGGAGAACGTGTGGCTGCAGCACGAGGTGTCCTCCTTCCCCACCTGATTGGACGGACTCACCAAGCTTCCTCCCTCAACCCTTCCATATTTCAGGAGAGGCGGTTCAACGCGACATATTTCTGTCGAGTCACAGCAGCAGACGGCAAGCAGCTTGACTTCGGGGGGCATCTGTCCCGGGAGGAGAACGTGTGGCTGCAGCACGAGGTGTCCTCCTTCCCCACCTGATTGGACGGACTCACCAAGCTTCCTCCCTCAACCCTTCCATATTTCAGGAGAGGCGGTTCAACACGACATATTTCTGTCGAGTCACAGCAGCAGACGGCAAGCAGCTTGACTTCGGGGGGCATCTGTCCCGGGAGGAGAACGTGTGGTTGCAGCACGAGGTGTCCTCCTTCCTGCTCGGCCTGCCTGCGGAGTCAGTCTGATTTGATTGCTTGCATTTTGCCGGCACAAAACTTGCAACCAGGTGAGCAGGTCGCTTTGACTTGTGAGCCGAATTAAAAGTCGGCCAGGGAGGAGTGTGTGTGGCTGCAGCTTGAGGTCTCCTTGTACCTTCTCGGCCTTGCTGCAGGCTCGGTTCAATCCGATCCCCTGTTTGCGAGGTGACTTTTATGTCGACTCAAAAGTCAGCTTGAGGTCTACTTGTACCTGCTCGGCCTTGCTGCAGATTCGGTTTAATCCGATTCCCTGTTTGTGTGCACACGACTTGCAACCAGGTCAGCCGGTCGCTTTTTGTGCATGTGCCTGTTTTCTGGTCTGCCTGCACTGCAGCTGTCTGCTGGCCTTTCCATCTGCTCTAGTCCGCCTAGTCCGCCTTACTGCAATTCTGTGTCCGGTGTGTGCAATTCTGTTTCCCAACTCCAATCCGTAACATGCCCTCAACTCTCGTGCCACACTGCAGGCAGCGGACCATCATGCCATAAACGGCCTGACTGCAGCTACACCATCCCGTCATGCGTCGTATTCAGGCTGTACCATGCGCCGCCCTCCCTCCCTCGACGCATCCACGCCTACCGTGTACAAATGCCGCAAGTGTGTCCTTCCTACAAACACCTGTGTGTATTGTATATTATAGAGGAGTGTGACAGCCGGGTCCAGTCCAGACCTGGAATAATTCCACGATATTGCAGAGCAGCTTTGATCTTCCGACATGCATGTCACCGCAGCTGCCACCCACACAGCGGTTATGTGAAAGACGTGCCTTGCATCGTATGATTGGTCCTGTCTTGCTGCAATCGCAATCCCATGCTACCAGAGAGAACCAGGGAGGACCAGAGCTGCAAACCAGTCACTTCATGGCTGCATGGCTGCATGGCTGCATGGCACTCTCTGTGGCTGTGCTGACGGCAGCTTTCAATCGTAAATGATGTTGATAAGTGACTGGGTATAGGATGTGTCAGAAGTCTAGGCAGGAATGAATGAACTAGAGGCATGATGGGTACAAGTAGGAAACCCTAATCTGGGTTGTACCCCATATGGGCTACCCCACTACAGCCTACACAATAAGCAGCATATATGTTTGACACACCCCCATAGGCAAAGTGGGGGAGAACAAGAGGTCACAGGACCAGTCAAGAAAGGCAAAGCAAGCTCAGGGTGGATCACAAAGTCACCACGCATTCTGAGCCTGAGCAAAGGGCCACAAGGCCAGTTCACATGCAGAGGTATATATGCAACAACACAGTACAGTGATCACTACCTAGCAAGAGCAAGCATGCAGGTATATATACATAGATCACAGTACAAGCAAAGCCTACAGCAAGTGAGGAAACGTAGGCACGAGGCCCAACAAAGTACAAAAGCGCTGATGATCACTAGGCGGAAGTGCCTTGGTGAATATATCAGCAGTGTTGGCCCTGGTGGCCACGTGAGCAAGACGAAGCTGACCACGCTGCTGCAACTCTCGAGCCAGGAAGTAACGCAGAGCGATGTGCTTCGTTCTGTGCTCCAGTCTGTGCTCCTGACACAAGGCAATGGCGGCCTTGTTGTCGACGTATAGAACTGGAGGAGAACGAGGCCTCTCTCCCAAGTCGGTCAGCAAGTAGGTGAGCCAGCGCAACTCCTGAGCAACCATGGCTGTGGCGTAGATCTCAGCCTCGCAACTGGAGCTGAGAACAGAAGACGAGCGAGTAGAACGCCAAGAAACAGAGCCAGAGCCAAGGCTGAAGGTGTAACCCTGTGACGACCGCTGCGTAGCCTGGTCGTCAACCCAAGAAGCGTCTGAGTGCCCAGTGAGGACAACGTCGCTCCGTCCTCCAAGCACGAGCCCCATGCCCGATGTACTGCACAAGTAGCGCAGTACCCTCTTTGCAGCATCCATGTGCACCTTTCGGTGCCGACCAGGAGCCACGTAGCGAGCCAAAAGGCCAAGAGGGTACGCAAGGTCAGGTCGAGTGCAGGTCATCAGGTACATGAGGCAGCCCACTAGCTCTGGGTAAGGACCACTCGACTCTACGGACTCGTCCGAAGGTGGAGCTGAGAGTGAGTGACCTGTAGCAAGAGGAGTGGCCTGTGGAGAGGACCAGGTGAAGCCGAAGCGCTGAAGGACCTGCTGCACCATGTGTGACTGAGACAGTGTGATGGTGCGGCGTGCTCTGTCCCGAGTGATCTGCAAGCCAAGGTAACTGCGCAGCTCACCCAGGTCTGTGCACGTGTGTCTCTTCTGCAGCTCCGACTTCACCAGGGCGAGAGCCTCAGTGTCAGCAGTAGCAAAGACCAAGTCGTCGACGTACACGAAGATGTAGAACGGCGGCAGCGAAGTGTCGGTGCGCAGAAACAGCGACGAGTCAGCAGTCGAAGGAGCGAACCCAAGAGCCGCAAGTGTAGTCCTCAGTGTGTCGTGCCACTCAGGAGGTGCCTGGCGGAGACCATAGACTGGCCGCCGGAGGCTCCACTGGGTACCAGGAGGGAACGACCCAGTGAAGCCAGGTGGGCGGTGCAGCCAGATCTCCTCATGCAGGCTGCCCTGTAAGAAGGCTGTGCTGAAGTCAAGAGAGTGAAGCTCGTAGTCACGCTGAGCGGCAACGTGCAGCAACACCCGAAGAGTGGTCATCTTCGGGGTAGGGGAGAAGGTCTGGAAGAAGTCAACTCCCTCACGCTGACTGAAGCCTCAAGCAACGTAACGAGCCTTGAAGACAGGCGGAGAACCTGGCGGCCGCTTCACCCTGAAAATCCACATGCCATCGACGATGTTCGCCCCAGGAGGGGGAACCTCATCGACGTAAGTGCCTGTGGACTTCCACGATGCCATCTCTGCGTCCATGGCTGCCTGCCACTGAGAGGAGTACTCACCCGCGATCGCCTCAGCGTAAGAGCGCGGGGTCGGGATGTCTACAGCATCCGGGTCTCCCTCAGGGGCAAGCAACATGGCCACGAGATGAGGCACAGCGGCTGCAAGACACTCAAGGTCCTCCTGCCTGTCCTCAAGGACGTTCGTGCCAAGAGCACACTCATCTTCGACGGACGGAGGACAGACAGACTCAGACTCAGCAATAAGGCTAGCGGCGTAGTCTAGACGACAGGCAGCAGCAAAGTCAACAAGCTCAGCGACTAAGGTAGACGCAGCAGCAGACTCAAACGATGGGTCAGTGACAACAGTGGCAAGGAGACGCGTGAGAGTAGGGTGCTCAGCACGAAACCAGTCAGACTCAGGGTCGGCAACGTCAGGCAGAGAGGACGCAGGGGGAGACGGCAGAGGAACAGACTGCGGAGCAGAGGAAAGACGACGGACTACGAGGTGTGTACCGGGGACAGCCGGCTGACGCGAACGAGGAACACGACGACCGGAACGACCAGGATGAACAGGCGAGACAGGACGCGACGCAGGCTCACGACGCTCAGCAAGACCACCAGGCTGCTCAGTGTAAGGAGGAGGAGCAGGGAGCGGTGAGCCAGGCAGTAACGGAAGACCAGTAGACGACGGAAGGGTAAGAACCTGACGAAGAACAGAGTCAGGCGGCGGCAGAGACGATGGAGACGGCGGAGCGAAGAACAGTCGTGTCGGCGCAGCTGCACCAGCACCGGCAGCTCCAGATGCTCCAGTGGCTCCAGCACCTCCAGTAGCTCCAGCACCTCCAGCAGCTCCAGAACCTCCAGCGCCAGCACCACCAGCAGCAGCACCCCCAGAACCAGTACCTCCAGTCCTAGGGTCGCCAGCCTCAGTGTCTCCAGCAGTAGCACCCCCAGAACCGACACCTCCAGTCCTAGGGTCTCCAGCCTCAGTGTCTCCAGCAGCAGCACCCCCAGACGCAGCACCTCCAGCCCCAGCAGCTCCAATACCTCCAGTACGAGCACCTCCGGGACCAGCGACTCCAGCACCTCTTGTAGATACAACACCACTCCCAGCTCCAGCGACGACAGCAGAAACACCTCCAGCGGTAGAGCCCCGAGCTCTTGCAGCGCGACCCTGACGGCGAGTGTACCACTCGTGCAGCTGCTGCGGGGAGAGAGGCGCACGCGGACGAAGGCGGCTACTCCAAGGAGACTACGCACCAGCAGTCTCAGTACCCGCAGGCGCCGCACCCCCAGACTCAGCACTCTCAGGCTCAGCACCCCCGGACGCAGCACCCCCAGGCACCGCACGCACAGGCTCAGCACCTCCAGCAGGTAAAGTACCAGCACCACTCCCAGCTCCAGTGACGTCAGCAGAAGTACCTCCAGCAGTAGAGCCCCGAGCCCCAGCAGCGCGACCCTGACGGCGACCGTACCACTCGTGCAGCTGCTGTGAGGTGAGAGGCGTACGCGAACGAAGGCGGCCACTCCAAGGAGACCGCGCACCAGCAGTCGCAGTACCCTCAGGCGCCGCACCCCCAGACTCAGCACCCCCAGGCTCCTCACGCTCAGGCTCAGTACCTCCAGGCTCAGCACCCTCAGGCCCCTCACACGCAGGCTCAGCACCCTCAGACTCGGCACCCCCAGGCTCAGCACCTCCAGGCTCCTCACGCTCAGGCACAGCACCCCCAGACTCCGCACCCCCAGGCTCAGCACCCCCAGGCTCAGCACCCCCAGGCTCCTCTCGCTCGGGCTCCGTACCCCCAGGGTAAGCACCTCCAGAGACAGCACCCCGAGCAGGACTACCCCCAGCAGGACCTGAGTCACCAGTGACCTCAACAGGCGCAGGCACAGGAGGATCTACCTGAGAAACACCTGAAGGAGCAGGACCTGGCGCGGGGAGGGGGTCTACCTGGGAAGGACCTGGAGCGAGAAAGAGCGGCGGGGGGGGGCGAGGGGCAGTGCGGTAGGGAAAGAGACGGTAAAAGGGGACGGACTCATCAAAAGTGACGTCCTGAGACGCAAAGACACGGCGCGAGGCGGGGTCGTAAAACTGCCAGCCAGGCGCGTCAGGAGGAAAACCAAGGAAGACGCAGGGAATGGCGCGGGCAGAGAGCTTGTCCGCGGTGAGATCGCGGACAAAGGCACGAGCACCCCAGACCCGGAAGCGCGACGCATCGCCAACCTCCCCCGTCCACAGCAGTGTGGGCGAGGTCTCCGGCAAGGAGACACGGGGCCAGAGGTTGAGCTGATGCGCGGCGTACCGGACCGCAAACGGCCACAGAAAATGGGGGGCAGCCGCATGGATCATGGAGGTACGAGTGACCTCCATGACTAAGCCAATGCGGCGCTCAGCAACCCCATTCTGCTGCGGAGAGGCCGAAAGCGTGAACGACTGGCGGATGCCGTGCTCCTCACAGAAAGCTCGCAAGAGGTCGGAGGTGAACTCACCACCTCTGTCAGAGTGCAGACGCAAGACAGGAAAGTCCGACTGAAACCGCTCGCGGAGCTGGAGACGAACAGCGCGGACCCTTGCTGCGCAAGGGGAAGACCGTGGTGTAACGCGTGTAGTCGTCGACGACCAGCAGGAAGTACCGCTCGCGGCCCTGCCCCTGGACGCGGGCTGGGCCCCACACGTCCAGGTGGAGAGTCTGCAGTGGAGCCTCTGTGGGAGGGAACGAGGAGGAGTGAGGAGCGGCGCGCTGCCGCCCCTCGACACAAGGAATGCAGGGCGGGGCAGGCGAGGGAGGGAGGGCGGGCAGAGACCTGGGAAGGCCAGAGACCAGTAGGCGAGAGTGCATGCCACGAAGGCGGGGTAGAGAGGGGTGACCAAGGCGGTGGTGCCACAGGAGAGTGTCGTGCGACAGGCGGCGACACTCACACTGGGTAGCTACCTGAGCGGACGCGTACAGCTGAGGAGACACAGGGGTGTAGCGCGACACAGTGGTGAGGGTGTACAGACTGGACCCTGGCGCACGTGTGAACGTGGCCAGGTGGCGGCCAGTCCTAGAGCACGTACAGATCGCCACACGCTGTCCTCCAGGAGTAAAGGTGTCAACCCAATGATCCTGAAGGACTGCGTTGCTCACCAGGTTCGTAGAGAACGAGGGGATGTGGAGACCTGACAGCTCACCAGACGGGACCGCCGGACACGGAAGCACAGTGGTAGACCGTGCAAGCACTGGGCCCCCAGAGGGGTCAGCCAGGGAGACAGGGACAGGTGCAGGGAGGGGTGTGACCATGATACTGTCGCGAAAGAAACAGCGGGAAGCACCAGAGTCAAGTGTAAAGGTGTGCAAGGCCTCAGCAGGTGCAGTACCAGAGAGAGCAGACTCACTAGCACCTAGAGCAGCAGCCGCTATACCAGGGTCAGGGGGCACACACAGGTAACAGTCACCCTCAGAAGTACCAGTCAAAACATACATGGCAGTAAGGATAGTGTCATAGTCTAAGGCAAATATATCTACTCCGTCCTGAAGCAGCTCTAGCCAGAGGGGTAGCTCAGTCTCGTCGCCAAACCGTGCTCGCCAAGCGTCGCTCAGACGGGAGAAGCAGCGGGACTCTGTGTGACTAACTGTCCCGCAAGTCTGACCAGCTCGATCACCTGTGCGAATAACGTACGGGCAGCGAGCAGTAGTCCTACACCCCCAACTCTGAGCGTACCACTCATGCAGCTGCCGGGGCGTAAGGGTCTCGCGCGGGCGCCACTGCAGCTGCATCTGGCCACCGCCAGAGACTCCGCACTGACCAGCTCCACCACGACTGCTACTACGGCCGCCGCCACCTCTCCGAGACGCACAACGCTGAGCGCACCACGTATGAAGCTGCTGGGGTGGAAGGGTCTCGCTCGGACGCCGCTGCAGCTGGATCTCGCCACCGCCAGAAACTCCGCACTGAACAGCTCCACCGCGACTGCAACTATGGTCGCCGCCACCACTCCCACTGCCGCCACCGCCGCCGCCACCACTCCCACCGCTACTACGAAGGGAAGTCATAGCGGATACGCAAGGAGGTGTGCGAGGAGGAGGGCGGTACAGAGGGAAGACAGCAGCACGAGCAACAGCAACAGCAGTAAGAGCAGCAGAGCGGCTCAGTGAGGCTAGGCTGCACCACCTCCAGCACTCCTAGCTCCACCAGCAGCAGTAGTAGCACGAGCAGGAGGGCGGATCGGGTCGGGTAGGGCGGCTCGGCTCGGCCTGGGCGGCGCGAGCAGCAGGGCGCGCTTCGTGCAGGGCAGCAGGGCGCGACGCGCGGGCTGCAGCAGAGCGCGGCGCGCGGGCTGCCGTAGGGCGCGACGCGCGGGGCAGCAGAGGCGCGACGCGCGGGCTGCAAGGCGGACGGGCGACGCGACGGGCAGGCAGCCCGTACGGGCGACGCGACGGGCTGGGACAGCCCGTACAGGCGACGCGACGGGCAGGCAGCCCGTACGGGCGACGCGACGGGCTGGGACAGCCCGTACGGGCGACGCGACGGGCAGGCAGCCCGTACGGGCGACGCGACGGGCTGGGACAGCCCGTACGGGCGACGCGACAGGCAGGCAGGGCGGACGGGCGACGCGACGGGCTGGGACAGCCCGTACGGGCGACGCGACAGGCAGGCAGGGCGGACGGGCGACGCGACGGGCTGGGACAGCCCGTACGGGCGACGCGACGGGCAGAGGCAGGGCAGACGGGCGACGCGACGGGCTGCAGGGGCGCGCGACGCCAGGCAGAGCAGAGCGTGCGCGGGGCAGCGCAACGCGGGGCAGGGCACGGCGTGCGCGGGGCAGCGCAACGCGGGGCAGGGCAGGGCGTGCGCGCGGGCGGCGCAGCGCAGGCAAGGCAAGGCAAGGCGCAGGCAAGGCAAGGCGCGGCGCAGGCAAGGCAAGGCAAGGTGCAGGCAAGGCAAGGCGCGCGCGGGCAGCGCAGCGCAGGCAAGGCAAGACGCGCGCGGGCAGCGCAGCGCAGGCAAGGCAAGACGCGCGCGGGCAGCGCAGCGCAGGCACGGCAAGGCGCGCGCGGGCGGCGCAGCGCAGGCAACACGTGGGGCAGCTCAGTAACCACAACGGTAGGTGGGCCCGAAAAAAAAGACGGTCCTACGGACCTACTGCTCTGATACCATGTCAGAAGTCTAGGCAGGAATGAATGAACTAGAGGCATGATGGGTACAAGTAGGAAACCCTAATCTGGGTTGTACCCCATATGGGCTACCCCACTACAGCCTACACAATAAGCAGCATATATGTTTGACAGGATGTACTCCACCAAACACATACCTGGGTCCCTGGGCTGGGAGGTTATATTATAATGGGTGTGTGGGGTCGAAATTGCTGCGTGCTAATGTGTTGAGCGATGTCCGATTTCCGATGTGATGGGTGAGGTGATGTGATGATTGTTGCAATAGAGACTTAGGCTTCATCTTAGCCCAACAATGTGTGCTGTGGGGAAGCGGCATGGGTGGGCTTAGGACAGCGTATGAATTTTTGACTAACTACAGATTTATAGAGCCGCGTGCTGCATTTTTACGGAATGCTTACCGTAAAAAACCACGTCTCTTTTGAGATCACTGTAATGGCGCTGTTAATATCGCGTAAAGCTTGTCCTGTGATACGTAAGGCAAGTGGGTCCAGGTCGTTCTTTTCAGCCTCGGTCGCGCGGCTTTCCTTCATGCACTCCACTTGTCTCCCAACAACCTTTCCCCCCTCTCCTCCGCTTCCCCCCTCCCGCCCCGCCCCACTCATCCCCGCTCCCTCCCCCCGCTTCCCCAGGTTTTATGTATTTGACTTTCCAATTCCTCCATTCCTTCAATTTTGGACTTTTTTTCGCCATAGCCTCTCATGCTTTGCAGCCTTCAATTCAGTTCACCCCAGCCCTGTTCCATCCATTCCGCCTATCTTGTAAGCTATACTGCGTTTCCCACCGCGCAATCTCCGCACCCCTCTCCAGTCGCAATGGCGGAATCCGCAAGTCCCGCCGCATCCCCCCCGCGGCCCGCGGAAACCGAGCAAGCCGCAGCGCCCGCCGGTCGCAATCAGGCAGACTGGCATACGACGGCAGTTGCTGCCTCCTTTTCCATAGCGCTCGCTCCTCCGCATGCGGCGGCGGCGGCGCCGGGGCCTAACTCCTCAGCGCCAAAATCGGCGCAGATTGCGGCGTCAGTTGCGGGGGAGATGGAGACGCCGTTGATGGAGGCGTCGCACCGGTTGGGCGATATTGTGCCTGCTGGCACGAGCGTGGTGCGCCCATGGGCGGGCGAAGGGGATGGGGACAGGGTGGGGGGAAGGGGGGGGGGCGGGGGGGAAGCGGGGATGGGGGGGGTGGGGGTGGGAGGGGGAGGAGAGTCGAGTTTTGAGTCGACTCAAAACTTGACTTATCACACAGAATGTGGTCAAGGGTCGATTCAATGGCCGGTTGTTGAATGCCGTTCTAATGTCAATCCTTTAGACCAGCCTGTAGACTTGCTGGCATGCAGTGGTAATCGTAACTTCTCCCCCAACTGCTGACGTGGACCAGCTCCCCATTGCCCCTCCCCACCCATTGCCCCTCCCCATTTCCCCTCCCCATGCCCCTCCCCATGCCCCTCCCCATGCCCCTCCCCTTGCCCCTCCCCTTGCCCCTCCCCTTGCCCCTCCCCTTGCCCCTCTCCTCTCCCCCAGCTGCTCAGTAGCACCAGCTCCCACCTCTTCATCCGCCTGCCCCTGCACTGGGCTAATCCCCCTTTCCGCCTTGCCTCACACCTTTCCCCCTTGCGACAATCCCCCTTCCCCCTCCCCTCCGCCCCTCACCTGCTTGAGACGACCAGCTTCCGGCTGTTCATCCGCTTGCCACCCGTCCAGTGCGCCAAATCCCCCCTTCCCGCCTCCCCCTTCCACTGGGCTAATCCCCTTTTCCTCATTCTCCCTCCCTCCCCCTCTCTCCTCCTCCCCCCCCACCCACCAGCTACTGGAGAGGACCAGCTCTGGTCTTTTCATCCGCCTGCCGCCCCTCCAGTGGGCTAATCCCCCCTTCTCCCCCCCACTTTCCGCTGGGCTAATCCCCCTTTCCCCCTTGCGCCCATCCTCCTAAGCCTCCCCCCCCCCCCCCCCCCCCCCCCCCCCCAGATACTGGAGAGGACCAGCTCTGGCCTCTTCATCCGCCTGCCACCCGTCCATCCGGCCAAAGCGGCGCTCGGCTTCACGGTATGGGCGGTGGGTGCAGTGGGCGATGGGTGCAGTGAGCAGTGGGTACTAGCTGGCTTCATGATACGGCCGATGGGAGCGACGGCTGTGGTGCCTGTGGTGGGGGCGATGGGTGTGGTGGCAGCGATGGGGGTGATATGGGTGCGATTTCTAGATGCCTAAATAAACACTTGTGCTCGCATGTGCCTTTTCAAACACCTGAGGGAGTTTGTCCCTCTCACGGTACTGCTCATCCCACAAGCATCAACGCTCCACAGGCCACCCACCTAGTACACCACGACCTACCAGCGACTATCTCCCTTCCCTTCTCCAGATAGAACCACCAAAGCCTTCCTCTCACCTCCTTTCTCCCATCGTTGCACAGTCACTGTCTCTCATGTCGCTTCCGTTGGTGCGGTTGCCGCTGTTCTTTTTCTCTCTCATTTTCAACAAAAGCATAAACAAAAAACAGCACAAGATATATGTTTACCATGCTCTTGTCCTGTCTCATCTCCCGTCTCCCATCTCTCATTACTGCACAGTATTGTGTTTTATGTGCGCTGATACCACTGCTGATGCCTCTGATACTGGATGATGGCGAGGGGACGGGGGAGCAGACACCCTTTCCACTTATCATGCCTGTCGCCTCTGCTATCTGCACACTGTGAGCCTTAGGAGGACTGTTGAGGGGTGCTCAGGGGTGCTGAGGGGTGTTGTGTATCAGGAGCGGTGTGGTGTGTGTGTGGGGTGTGAACCCCCAGGGCAGCAGCAACCCCTTCCGCCCATCGTGCCTGTTGCCTCCGCTCTCTGCACACTGTGAGCCCTCAGAGGAGTTGTGAGGGGTGGTGAGAGGTTTGGGGAGTGTTGAGATGTGTTGAGGGGTGTGGGAAGATTTGTCTCAAGAACCCCTTCCACCCTTCATGTATGTTGCCTCTGCTCTCTTCACACTGTGCCTTGGGAAAAGATGGGGATGCTTATGCGAAATGAGAGGGGTGGGGAGGGGTGATGAGGGATGTGCAGGGATGCGGAGAAGTGTTGACTCTTGAGGGGTTTTGCCATGGGAGCGACGAGCGGTGCGGTGCGGAGCGGTGAGTGCATCCATGATCCATTTGTGCTGCCCCTGGTTCCCATTCACCTACCGCCCCTTGCCATCCCACTGTCATTCCTTCCCACCCCCCCCCCCCCGTCCCCCTCTGCTCCCCCCCTCCCACTCCCCCCTCCTTCCTCTCCACCCACGTCAGCAAGCCCGTCCTGAGCATGGTGCAGCATTCACAGTGCGCAATGCTGCACCGTGAAACGATTTTCACTCATGGAAAAACGGCCCTCCTCCCCTCCCTCCTCTCCCGCCCCTCTCTCCCCTCCCTCCTCTCCTGCCCCTCTCTCCCCGCCCTCACCTGTCAATCCCGAGCATGTGTGCAATGCGGCATTTATGGTTCATTTCGAAGAACCCTTCTAAAGGGCCTGCCTCCTCTCCTTTCCCCCCATCATCCCCATCCCATCCACGTCAGCTTGGCATTCGTGTGTGTGTGCTCAGCTTTTGTGGTCCGCACGATGCGAATCGACGGCTCACAGCTGCTGCACACGTGGCAGCTGTTTGGATGGACTATCAACACCGCCATCCCCACCGCATCTATAGTCCGCATCGACCTCTGCAAAATGGTAAATGCCTGTGCGCCCTGGGGTGTTGAGAGGTGTTGAGGGTTGCTGAGGGGTTCTGAGGGGTGCCGAGGGTGTTCGGGTGGACCATCTGCACCACCATCCCCACCGCGTCCGTCGGTCGAGTCTCACCTCACCTCACCTCACCTCACCTCACCTCACCTCACCTCACCTCACCTCACCTCACCTCACCTCACCTCACCTCATCTCACCTCACCTCTCCTCAGCTCACTTCATCTCACTTCACCACTGCAAAATGCTTTCTCACCTCAACTCCTCACCCTCACTATCAAATTTCACCACCAGCCATCCACCCCACGTCTTCCCCCCTCCCTTCCCCTTCCATCCTTTCAGAAGAGCACCCACTATTTCTGCCAAGTACCAGCCATGCTTTACCCCCTTCCCGCTCTCCTCCCCCCACCCCTGGTCCCCTTTCAGGAGAGGCGGTTCAGCAACGCGTATTTCTATTGAGCATCATCAACAAACGGCACGCAGCTTGATTCTGGCACCCATCCTTCTCGAGAGGAGTGCGTGTGGCTGCAGCAGGGACGAAGTGCCTAAAAATCTCGCCCTCCTCCTTGCCCTCCTCCCCTCCTTTCTCCCATCTTTTCAGGAGAGGTGGTTCAGCAACGCGTATTTCTGCTGAGTGGCAGCAGCAGACGGCAAGCAGCTTGATTATGCCACCCATCGCGTGTGGCTCAAGCATCAAGAAAATTCCCCCATCTCACACTCTCCTCCTTGCCCTTACTCCCCGCCCACCGCCCCTCTTTTTAGGAATGGGCGATAAGCAACAAATACTTCTGTGAAGTAGCAGCAGCAGACGGCGAGCAGCTTGATTTCAGCGGGCATCTCTCCAAAGAGGAGTGCGTGTGGCTGCAGCACGAGATGTCCTCCTTCCTGCTCGGCCTGCCTGCGGAGTCCGTTTGATTCTATCTCCTGCTTGCCTGCACGAGACTTGCAACAAGGTCCGCAGTTCTCTTTCTCTGCCTTCTCCTGTTTGTCTGCTTGCGTGTCTATCTGCTCGCGTCCGCTTTGTGTCCGGTGCGTGCAAGCGTGCTCCCAAAGTTCAATCCGTATCATGCCTGTACTCTTATCTCTTGTCACACTGCAGGCAGCATCAAGCCATCATGGCCACCATGACACCCTTCCCTGCCTCTAATACACCTTCACCTAGGCAGTACCATGCGTGATCTGTGCACGCATGCAATCCTTATGCTTTCTTTATGATAACGGAACAGGCCTACAGCTACGATGGCCTTGCCTTGACAAGCACCTCCCTGTACATATATGCTACAAATGCGGTTGGTACCTGTTTGTATTGTTAAATAATAGAAACTGTGCCAAGTCAATGCCTTGTCTTTCCCATGCTACCAGACAAGGCGGGCCAGAAGGAACCCTTCAAGCCGCATACACTTTTTTGGCGCAAAACATACAGTAGGGGGTTTCAAACAGTATCTTTGTAGAAAGTTGCTCACCACGTTAAATTTGCCAATCTGGACTTCTTTCCTGGAGAATCTGTTGCAATCGTGGCATTGGTAAGCCAACCCATTTGACTTTTGAGTCGACTCTCAAAAGTCCAACTTGTAAACTGTTGCTCACCAGGTTATGACTCTCTGGGGAGGAACGCGCCAACAACTCCGCCCCGTGACTTGCTTGGACCAACCAGCCACCTTCAGCGCGTGTCCAGAGGCGGAGCACACCTCGTTAATCGGTGCAGCGCGTACGTCGTCCAGCAGGTCTTTGCGCGGCGTCATCGTCCAAGCAGCGCCCGTGTCCAACACCCAATAGTCCAGGGGGTGCAGCTCTGCTCCAACCTTGGCAGAGGCGTATCCTTGCTCCCCCTGCTCTCCCATATGGAAGAACTGGCCCGCGGTGCGCTCCTTCTTCTCCGCACAACCGTTGCTCTTGGGGTTGTTGTCGGACGCCCAGATCCGTTCACCCACTTCATTGAGGATACTAGTGTTAGAATCTAGCAGCAGGAATGATGAACTAACAGCATGCAGGAGTACAAGTAGTAAACCCTAATTGGGTTGTACCCCATATGGGCTACCCCACTACAGCCTAGACAATATGCAGCATATATGTTTGACACACCCCCATAGGCAAAGTGGGGGAGAACAAGGGGTCACACGACCAGTCAAGAGACGCAAAGCAAGCTCAGGTTGGCCCTCAACGTCACCACACATTCTGAGCACAAGCAAAGGGCCGCAAGGCCAGTCCACATGCAGAGATATATATAAGCAACAAGAGCAGTACAGTGATCAATACCTAGCAAGAGCAAGCATGCAGGTATAAATATAGAGCACAGTACACACAAAAGACTACAGCAAGTGTGGAAACGTAGGCACAAGGCCTAACAAAGTACAAAAGCGCTGATGATCACCAGACGGAAGTGCCTTGGTGAATATATCAGCAGTGTTGGCCCGAGTGGCCACGTGTGCAAGACGAAGCTGACCACGCTGTTGCAACTCTCGAGCCAGAAAGTACCGCAGAGCGATGTGCTTCGTTCTCTGCTCCAGTCTGTGCTCCTCACACAAGGCAATGGCAGCCTTGTTGTCGACGTACAGAACTGGAGGAGAACGAGGCCGCTCTCCCAGGTCGGTCAGCAGGTAGGTGAGCCAGCATAACTCCTGAGCAGCCATGGCGGTGGCGTAGATCTCAGCCTCACAACTGGAGCTGAGAACAGAAGACGAGCGAGTAGAACGCCAAGAAACAGAACCAGAGCCAAGGCTGAAAGTGTAACCCTGTGACGACCGCTGCGTAGCCTGGTCATCAACCCAAGAAGCGTCTGAGTGCCCAGTGAGGACCACCTCTCGCCGTCCTCCAAGCACAAGCCCCATGCCCGATGTACTGCACAAGTAGCGCAGTACCCTCTTCGCAGCATCCCAGTGCACCTTTCGGTGCCGACCAGGAGCCACGTAGCGAGCCAGAAGGCCAAGAGGGTACGCAAGGTCAGGACGAGTGCAAGTCATCAGGTACATGAGGCAGCCCACTAGCTCTGGGTAAGGACCACTCGGCTCTACGGACTCATCCAAAGGTGAAGCGCTGAAGGTGGAGCTGAGAGCGAGTGACCTATAGCCAGAGGAGTGGCCTGTGATGAGGACCAGGCGAAGCCGAAGCGCTGAAGGACCTGCTGCACCATGTGTGACTGAGTCAGTGTGATGGTGCGGCGTGCTCGGTCCCGGGTGATCTGCAAGCCAAGGTAGCTGCGCAGCTCACCCAGGTCTGTACACGTGTGTCTCTTCTGCAGCTCGGACTTCACCAGGGCGAGGGCCTCAGTGTCAGCAGTAGCAAAGACCAAGTCGTCGACGTACACGGGGATATAGAACGGAGGCAGCGAAGTGTCGGTGCGTAGAAACAGTGAAGGGTCAGCAGTCGAAGGCGCAAACCCAAGAGCCGCAAGGGTAGTCCTCAGTGTGTCGTGCCACTCACGGGGTGCCTGGCGGAGACCGTAGACTGGCCGGCGGAGGCTCCACTGGGTACCAGGAGGGAACGTCCCAGTGAAGCCAGGTGGGCGGCGCAGCCAGATCTCCTCGTGCAGGCTGCCCTGTAGGAAAGCTGTGCTGAAGTCAAGGGAGTGAAGCTCGTAGTCACGCTGAGCGGCAACGTGCAGCAGCACCCGAAGAGTAGTCATCTTCGGGGTAGGGGAGAAGGTCTGGAAGAAGTCAACTCCCTCTCGCTGACTGAAGCCTCGAGCAACGTAACGCGCCTTGAAGACAGGCGGAGAACCTGGCAGCCGCTTCACCCTGAAAATCCACATGCCATCGACGATGTTCGCCCCGGGAGGGGGAACCTCATCGACGTAAGTGCCTGTGGACTTCCAGGATGCCATCTCTGCATCCATGGCTGCCTGCCACTGAGAGGAGTAGGGACCCGCGATCGCCTCAGCGTAAGAGCGCGGTGTGGGGATGTCTATAGCATCCGGGTCTCCCTCAGGGGCAAGCAGCATGGCCACGAGATGAGGCGCAGCGGCTGCAAGACACTCAAGGTCCTCGTGCCTGTCCTCAAGGACGTCCGTGCCAAGGGCACACTCACCCCCGACGGACGGAGGACAGACAGACTCAGACTCAGCAACAAGACTAGCAGCGTAGTCTAGACGACAGGCAGCAGCAAAGTCAACAAGCTCAGCGACCAGGGCAGACGCAGCAGCAGACTCAAACGACGGGTCAGTGACAACAGTGGCTAGCAGACGTGTGACAGTAGGGTGCTCAGCACGAAACCGGTCAGACTCAGGGTCCGCGACGTCAGGCAAAGAGGACGCAGGGGGAGACGGAAGAGGAGTACGCTCCGGAGTAGGGGACCGACGCAGGGCTACAAGGCGTGTGCCGGGGACAGCCGGCTGACGCGGACGAGGAACACGACGACCGGTACGACTAGGACGAACAGGCGAGACAGGACGCGACGCAGGCTCACGACGCTCAGCAAGACTACCTGTCTGCTCAGTGTAAGGAGAAGGAGCAGGCAGCGGTGAGCCAGGCTGTAACGGAAGACCAGTAGACGACGGGAGAGTAAGAACCTGACGAAGAACAGAGTCAGGCGACGGCAGAGACGACGGAGACGGCGGAGCGAAGAACAGTCGTGTCGGCGCAGCTGCACCAGTACCGGCAGCTCCAGCAGCTCCAGTACCTCCAGCAGCTCCAGCACCTCCAGCAGCTCCAGAAGCTCCAGCCCCAGAACCGACACCTCCAGGCCCAGGGTCTCCAACCTCAGTGCCTCCAGCAGCAGCACCCCCAGAACCAGCACCTCCAGTCCCAGGGTCTCCAGCCTCAATGTCTCCAGCAGCAACACCCCCAGAACCAGCACCTCCAATCCCAGGGTCTCCAGCCTCCAGCAGCAGCACCTCCAGACGCAGCACCCTCAGCCCCAGCAGCTCCAGTACCTCCAGTACGAGCACCTCCGGGACCAGCGACTCCAGCACCTCCAGTAGACAAAGTACCAGCACCACTCCTAGCTCCAGGGACGTCAGCAGAAGTACCTCCAGCAGCAGAGCCCCGGGCTCCAGCAGCGCGACCCTGACGGCGACCGTACCAGTCGTGCAGCTGCTGCGAGGTGAGAGGCACACGTGGACGAAGGCGGCTACTCCAAGGAGACCGCGCAGCAGCAGACTCAGAACCCTCAGCACCAGCACTCCAAACTGCTCCAGAACCTCCTGCGCCAGCACCCTCAGCACCAGTACCTCCAGCAACTCCAGAACCTCCAGCGCCAGCACCCTCAGCAGCTCCAGAACCTCCAGCTCCAGCGCTACCAGGACCAGGCCCTCGAGCAGCTCCAGAACCTCCGGCGCCAGCACCCTCAGCAGCTCCAGAACCCCCAGTGTCAGTACCCTCAGCAGCTCCAGAACCTCCAGCAGCGCGGCCCTGACGGCCAAGGTACCACTCAACCAGCTGCAGGGAGGAGAGGGGGAGTGGACGACGAGAGGGCAGCGGCGAGGCACCAGCGGAGCGACTACGGAGACGGCCGCTCCAGGGAGACAGCTCACCAGACGCCTCAGCAACCCCAGGTGCAGCACCCCCAGACTCAGTACTGCCAAGCTCAGCACCTCCAGGCCCCACACCCTCAAGCTCCGCACCCCCAGGCTCAGTACCCCCAGGCTCAGCACCCCCAGGCTCAGCACCCCCAGAAGTAGCACCCCGAGCAGGACCTGAGTCACCAGTGACCTCAACCGGCGCAGTCAAGGGAGGAGGGTCTACCTGAGACACACCTGAAGGAGCAGGACCGGGAGCGGGGAGGGGGTCTACCTGGGGAGCACCTGGAGCGAGGAAGAGCGGTGGGGGGGGGAGAGGGGCAGTGCGATAGGGGAAGAGACGGTAAAAGGGAACCGACTCGTCGAACGTGACGTCCTGAGACGCAAAGACACGGCGCGAGGTGGGGTGGTAAAACTGCCAACCAGGCGCGTCAGGGACAAAGCCAAGGAAGACACAGGGAATAGCGCGGGCGGAGAGCTTGTCCGCAGTGGTATCGCGGACAAAGGCACGAGCACCCCAGACCCGGAAATGCGACGCATCGCCCACCTTCCCCGTCCACAGCAGTGTGGGCGAGGTCTCCGGCAAGGAGACACGGGGCCAGAGGTTGAGCTGACGCGCGGCGTATTGGACCGCAAACGGCCACAGAAAATGGGGGGCAGCTGCATGGATCATGGA